ATTTCAAAATGTCATAACTTTTAAACTGATTGGATTGGGAGCTCAAATTTTACATTTTTTCTTGTTTTATTGTTATGTACCACTGGGTAAAACTTAAAGAAAATCCAAAAGGTGACTGAAATGACCGTCCCAGTTTTAAATGGATTTACCCACAAATAGTAAGTCATATTCATTATATCAGAGACATAAAGAATAAATTTAAAAATTCAAAACATACAATTTAAATTTTCTGGTTAATTTTAAATTTAAGTGTTAACAAGCTTAAAATTATTTTTAATATCTATCTAACTATCTATCTATTTATCTATCTATATATCTATCTATCTATTTATTTTATTATACTAACTATCTATCTATTTATCTATCTATATATATATATATATATATATATATATATATATATATATATATATATATATATATATATATATATATATATATATATATATATATATATATATATCTATCTATCTATCTATCTATCTATCTATCTATCTATCTATCTATCTATATATATATATATATATAATATATATATATATATATATATATATATATATATATATATATATATATATATATATATATATATATATATATATATATATATATATATATATATATATATATATATATATAGAGAGAGAGAGAGAGAGAGAGAGAGAGACAGAGAGACAGATATATATATATATATATATATATATATATATATATATATATATATATATATATATATATATATATATATATATATATATATATATATATATAGAGAGAGAGAGAGAGAGAGAGAGAGACAGAGAGACAGATATATATATATATATATATATATATATATATATATATATATATATATATATATATATATATATATATATATATATATATATATATTTGATAAGTTAACATACTTATAATGAAATTGAAAAAATATGTAATAGGGAACATCTAATGTTTAGGGGTTTTAAGCAACCCAATAATAAAATTTTCATAACGTAATTTGTAAAATCTCCTGTCATTTTACTACATAAAATCAAGTGTCATTTTATTATATACAACAAGTTTAACAGTAATTAATTAAATAAACATATTTTATTATATAAAACACATTTAACTAATTACCTGTTCTTTTACAAGATTAAAAACAATATATATTTTTTGAATACTAATTGAATACCTTGAATACTATTGTGTGGTATAGAGCAATTCCACCACTGTCTCACAATAAATGAAAAAATTAAAACAACCAATATACATAAAGCTATATATCAGTAGAAAGCCCTAAGTCTCCTTTTTCAGAAAATGCATAGCTTGTGATAGTATGCTGCTATTATAAAAAATAATATGGGCTGAAACAGAACGTAAAAATAGGCGTTTTTGCGATAATTTAATTCATTTTTAACCGTCAAAGTTCAATTAAACCTATAAACTGTCTTCATCATTGCAATCAGGTTTTTAGCTGCACTAATCGTTGCTACTTATGATAAAAATATGTTTTTTGCTAGATGAATCCAGAAAACCATTTATTTTAATCAAATGTTATTACCACTATTGTCACGCTGTGGCATGTCACAGCGCGACAATTAGGGTACCAATAGTTTTATTTCTAGGACAACCAGTAAAACTTAGGATTTCAAAATTCCAGCGCAATGAGAAATCTATCTAGCACATCTAAAAAAATTCTAACATGTTTAAAAAAATAATTACCTTATGTTGTTTTTAGAATCTTTTTATGTCACGCCTTGACATCACAGCGTGACAAAATTTAAAACAATATTTAAAATTGCTAAACTGAAACCACAATTGAGTTTTTATAAACTTCAATGGCCCAGATTATTGTGCGACATACTTTCTTTGACATTTTCTACAAAAGCTACAAAATATAGGTATGTTTTGCATAGGCAACACTTGAACGATGAATGCTCAGATATCCTTGAGGCTCTCTTTTGGTATTTATAGAGCCTCTCTAAGGGATAGTTGTAACTCCATTGAGCCTTAGATGTAATACGTGCATTTCCATAACTACTGTGTTGCTCTTAATTGTTTTTAATCTTTCAAGGGTTTAACATGCCTCTTACTCATGCTGAACGTCAAAAGAAATATCGTGAAAGCCAGTTAAAAAAATTTGGCAAAAAAGTAGTTTAAGAATAAGAATCGAAAAGGAGAAAAGAAAGAAGACTTGCTAAATTTGAGGATCAACGAGAAAAAGAAAGGCTACGAAAGAGAAAAAGCAGACAAAAAATAGCAGAATCAAAATCTGTAGTTGTTAAATCACCCCTATACAAATCTATGAGCACTATTGGAAAAGCTGTTAAGAGAGCCGAGTCAGCACTACCAAAATTACCCAAAAAAAGGGCTAAAGTTGTACAAAAACTTTTAATAAAAATGAATGAAACCCCTAGCCCAGAAAAAATACTTAGTGAAAATGCATTAGATGCTTTAACTGTAAAATTGGTTCTTGATTTTTATCAGTGTGATGATATATCCTGTCAAGCACCCAGTAAAAGAGACACCATTATGGTAAGATTAAAGAACAAGAAAGAAACTGTGCAAAAACATTTGTATATGAATGTTAATGAAGCTTATGCTGTTTTTAAAGGTGATTATCCTAAAAAATCAGTTGGAAAATCAAAGTTTGCTAGTTTACGCCCACCACATGTGCTTTTGTTTAGTTCAATGTCAAGAAAGGTTTGTTGTTGTCAGCGACATCAAAATATAATCCTTATCCTTGAAGCCCTGTACAAGTTTGATTCAAATTTTCCATTGTATTCACATGAATTTCCTCTTAGCATTGTATGTGATAGTGAAAAAGAAATTTGTTATAACAATATGTGTACAACATATAAAGATGCTGCAAAGTTTCATAATCTATATGTTTTGAATTAAATTGAAAAAGTTGCAGAAGGTAATAGAAAAGAATATATTTAAAAAATTGAAAAAAAGGGAAGAGTTGACAATCTTTACAGCACCTTTTCAAAATCTTTACATTCATTTCTTTGGCATTATTTTATTAAACAGAAACAATCAAAGACATATCGTGATCATAAGATCCAACTTCAAAGTAATCCAGACACAGCTGTTATTCAAGTAGATTTTGCTGAAAATTTTTAAACATTGTGGCAAGATGAAGTGCAGTCCGCACATTGGCACAAGAGTCAAGTTACTGTGTTTACTGCTGTATTTTGGTACCAAAATTCATGCTCATCAGCTGTCATAGTTTCAGATGATTTAAGCCACTCGAAAGAATCTATTCTTGTATTTGTTCATACTTTGTTATCTAACCATATTAAATCAAGTGTTAAAATACTACAGGTTTGGACAGACGGGAGAATAATCAATTCAAAAATCGTTTTATTGCATCAGCAATACCCTAATTGGAAAAACAGCATGATTTAAAATTATTCTAGAACTTTTTTGCTGCTTCACATGGGAAAGGACCGGTAGATGCTATTGGTGGGACCATTAAAAGAATAGCAACGCAAAAAATAATCCAGAGAAAATTTATAATAACAGATGCCATAACTTTTCATGAAGCTGTTAAAAATGAGACTAATTTCAATGTCTATTTTGTTTCTATGGAAGATGTAATAAATACAGCAAAAAAATTTAAAATTGATGAGTTATTTACAAAAGCACCATCAAAACCAGGAATATTTGCAGCTCACCTAATTCAAAACAATAATGGAAAAATAGAAATGCGAACCTATTCAAGTGCCAAGTATTTAGTGAAACAACTAACGTCTTCAGATAAAATCACCGAAAAACTTTAAAATATTGTATATATGACAGCAATATAATATGGACACGATTTGACACTAATATATTATGGGCGTGTTCTGAAAATTGTTATATGTAAGAACTATTTTTATAAAGATGTAATTATATATTTGTCTAATATCTTTCTACTAAGTTTTAAATTTGTTAAAAACAGCCCATTTACCTGGTTTATAATTACCCAAATGTGTCTGGTCACGCTGTGACGTTTACCACTAGTTAACTAAAGGTGTGCCTGTTTGAAATTTAATTTTAAAAATGTTATTTAGCTATAAAACTTGTAAGATTAATGTCTAAACTTTTTGTTTAATGCCAAGTTAATAATTCAGTTCATCCATATTAGCTGAATTGCGGTGTTGATCTAAAAACTAAAAAAAATGAGAAAATTTTGGTCACGCTGTGACGTTTTATTTTTTTTTTGCATGAATGAGAGGCTTATATATCCAACCAAATTTTTTTTTTTTTTTTTTTGTATCACCTATTATGAGCTAACTAAATAGTAAAAAAAAAATCTTTTTATACCTATTTTAATATTAAATAATAAAGGCTTAAGACAAAAAAAAGACGGTTGTCACGATATGATGGCTGTGAAATTGCTCTATAGCATGAGTAGCTATGATGCTTATCTGATGGGATAATCAAGTTATTTTTGATAATTTTGTTAATATTTTGCAGGCTTACTTTAAACATAATCTCAAAAATTTTCTATCAATATCAAGTGCAAATTGTGTTTGAATTGTACACTTACAACAATTCAATATTGTTGTAAGTGTACAATTCAAAATTTAAAACAATTGTAAAAATTTATGTGATAGTACATCAGAGTTGGAGTCAGAGTCATTAGCAAGAAAAAAAAATTTATTTATCGCGTAATATTTTTAAAAGAATTCAAAGCGACTTTTAAAAATTTTGCTTTGGAGTCAGATTTGAAGTCAGAGTTTTATTCTAAAAATTTTAACGATTGGAGTCAGAGTTAATTCTTTTTTTTTTACGACCCTACACCCCTGTAGTACATAATAAATAGACCTGATTAATTTTTTTATTTTTTAATTTTTTTAAAAACATAAGTATTTTAAAACTAAATAATAATTAAAAACTACAAATAAATAAACGCAAAATATAATTAAATATATACCAAAAATCTCCTTCAAATTATATTTAGACAACATATACACTAAATATTTATTATTGTAGACTAGACTGATTATAAATTACAATTAACTAACCTAATAATCAACTTAACAGACAACTCTCTGGTGCAATCCATAGAATCATCAAGCAATTTAAGAACTGGTTTAAATAAATTTTGAAAAATTGTTCTTATTATATGTTCGGGATATTCAGTACCAAAAACAAACTTGTCTATCTTCTCAAGTGATCTTTTTTTAGCCAGATGATTACTAGCTGATAATAAGTTAATATCTCTTACAATCCCCTATAACAACAAAGCAAGATCATATATTATTAAAAGATATACTAACAAACCCACCATTTTAATAATTTTTGATTGTATTTATCCTTAAATGTTACTCATTCCTAAATATTAAAATGTGCTTTAGGTGTTTAAACATTAATTACGTCTCAGTACTCACTTTAAATCGTTTTCTAATAAATTAAATTTAAATAATATTTCTTAAATAATGTGAAAATTATTTGCACACATTTTTTGTATAAAGTTTGTTAAGATATAATATTTAAAAAATTTCTGCTCTTTTTTATTTTACTTAGATAAGCAAAGTTAAACAGGTTGAGACTTTGACACGAATCAAAATTACCTTGTTCAAAAACACATTTAATTAATTGAAAACTCTTACTTGCATAATCTCTTCCACTTTTTCTTCTTTTTTGTTATGAGTATTAGCATGATCATTTTGGCGCATTGCAACATCCACCATTTTAAAAACTAGATATAAACAAAGTTAGGTCGCTGAGAGATTAGTTGAGATCTGAGCTGATAACGGTGCCGGGAAAAATAAATCTATTAGCAGTGCTGATTTGAATTTTTGGTCTTTCCTTAAGACCTAAAACAAATTCTTAAAAAATTTTCACATTTGGGGCCGGTACCAATGATGTCAAATTTCCTGCTATGAACAAAAAAAAAATAGTATTTGTGAATTTAAAAAATATATTTGTTATACAAAATACCTTGTCAAGCGGAACAAAAAATATATAAAAACCATATGCTGAAAACGTTTCCTTCCCGAAATATAACTCCTTACAAAAATAATTTATTCAGGGAAGCATTTAAATATTTTTACAACTTATTAGGTATACATAAAACTATATTTTTTATTAAAAGATCATTTAAATAACACAGAGCACTATTAGTGATAAGTAAAACTAATAAAACTTGATAAATATAAGCTTACAAATATAACTATTAGTCTTTTTTATTGGACGTATCAGATTCTGTCTCTAGCTCTTCGTCTCTTCAATCGTGAATATTGTTGTTTACACACCGTGAGCATTTACACATATCCGTACAGGCAAAGTTGTTTTTATAACACTTGCATACCCTTGTACTGCAATCACCATTACATCCACAAACACTCTATTGAATTAAACCCAATGGAGCAAGAAGAATATCTGTTAATATTAGATCAATAGATTCATTATTGATCTTCCAGCCAAAGCTTTCAGAAGAAGGAAAATTTTGTAAAGATTTGTGAGATTTTCTTAATTTTTTTTTTTTTTTGAACATGTTATTTAAGTGCCCCAAGAAGACCTAACGGTCTTGTCACAGAGTACCGCGGAAGTGCATTAAACCAGGAAGTTCATGCCTCCGTCCTTACCGTGACGCAAAATATGTCCAAAGCTCGTTTCGAACCTGGATCTCCTACTTATAAAGCAAGCGCTCTTACCACTGCGCCACGGCCGCACAATTGAGTTAAACCTAATGGAGTAGGAAGACAATTTGTTGATATTGGATCAAGAGATTCACCATTGATCTCCCAGCTAAAGCTTTCAGGAGAAAGAATATTGTTTAAAGATTTGTGAGATTAGAGTGCTCATGGTAGGTGGTAGCTGCGCAGCATCTTATGAAACTTTGAGAAGAGAAACCTATCTTAACTTAGCAAAAGTTAATATGTTATTGGGCATACTTTTTAATCCATATGTGTTGACTAAAAAACGCTCAATTTCTTGAAGAGTAACCTGATTCGGCAACGACTCAGTATCGCCGAACATTGATAATGCATACAGAATCTTGTAATCCACAACCATGAATGACTTTTGCCATATTAATTTGGATTTTCCATAGAAGTGGCTGGTCTGGTCACATCCTTTTAACATATGGAAACCCAGTAAAGCTTTTGAAATTTTTAGAATAAAAAGGCTTTGCTTTCCACATTTTTATTTCAGCACCTTTGTGAACTCTGTTTCGCAATGTCATTCTATCAATAATGATTACTCGTTGAGTATTGCTTGTCATATACTCGTTAGGTATTGCTTGTCAGGTACTACTGAATGCTTTTCTTTTGATAACGATTCTTTCTCATGTAGTATTTTGTATTTATCTGTGAAAAGCAGGGGTTTACAATCTCCTCCATATAAGTTTTTTTATTTTTTGTATTATTTATATAATTCAAAATGATGATGCTTAACAACTTTGCTTCATTAAAAAACAAAAAAATCATTTTTTTTTCATTTTTGAAAACTAGCATAAAACATTATTTGTAATAAAAAAAAACATACCAATCAAAGAACTTAAATTTCCGTAGAACAAACTTTACTTAAATAGATAATTGATTTGAATAGAAAATTCATATCAATAATATCTCTTTTAACAATATTCATTATCAATATATAGCAAACCTGGAATGAAAGAACCATTTTTTTAAATTTTTTTATAGGAGTTTGTAAATTCTGGGTCTGTGTTTAATACATTCCTAAAAGTGGTATATTTTGGGAAGGAAAATTTTTTAAATTTACGATTATTTTTTTGACTGTAATAAGTTTGACCTCATGGGTCCGGGCCCCATATGTAACAATTTTTTGGCAGACATTTTTTTCTTCTTAGTTTTAACCTAAAGAGCAAAAAGCTGCTTCTAACACACCTGTACACACGAAAGTCTTAATCTTAACAAAAGCTGCTTCTAACACACCTGTACACACGAAAGTCTTAATCTTAACAAAAGCTGCTTCTAACACACCTGTACACACGAAAGTCTTAATCTTAACAAAACAGCCCTCACTAAACACTCTGTTAATTAAAACAAATGTTTTTCTAGATTTAAAACTAAAAAAAAAATGTTGTGTCACAACATCAAATACCCCTCTCTGTTGTAGTAAATTGTGACAAAAACGCTAACCCGTTTCCTGCCGCTTCCTTTTGCGTGACGTAATATGCAGACGACTCATAACTATACTTAAAACATTTGTGAAACTATTAGAAAACAATATTAGAAAGTTATAAGAAAAGGTTTCTTTTTTATCAAATAAAAGAAAGCTTACTTTTTGTGATATTAAACAATACGTAATACATTTTTTGACTCAGTAACGTATAGGGTTTAAAATGTAGCAAAAATAACAATATTAAAAAAAAAACTTATATAAAAGTAAAAGTACATTTATAAAAAATATTAAAAAGTAATGTAAGCGCATTCCTTTGTTTTTATGCATCAGTAACAGGCAGTTTTTTGGTTTTAACTTTTACTATTTGTTTTTTTACTTTTCCCCAACGTTTCCCCGCCACCCTTCTCCCCCTATTTTCCTAAACCCCCCGTCCTCCTCAAAAAAAAAATTAAACTTTCTAATCCTTTCAGTGTATCTATAAAACAAGTAAATTCCGCGCCCCTAAAGATACTAGTTTAAATATAAATTATTTATATAAAATATAAAATTCCTATTGGAATATACCAACTATTTAAAGCATAATAACAAAAAATATTAATTAAAAACTATTACAATTGTAAACCGTGAGATGTTAAAGAATATCTTAGCATTAATATTCTAAAATTCGTCAAGATCATGTGTTTTATATGTATGGTCTATTTGATAGCCACACCTAATCTTTTCACGTTTTTAATTAAAAATTCTAATTAAAGATTAAAGATTTTAATTAAAGATTTTAATTAAAGAGTAGAATAGTTATGTGAATCGCATTACGTGTTCTGCATGTTTGCTGATTATCAGTATATCGATCTTAAACTAAATTATAGTTTCACACTTTTATTCTAATTATATCTTCACATGTAGGCCACAAATACCTTTTTTATTGGCAAGTTATTATTTGCTTAAAAATTTTTTATTAAAGAAAGAAAGCAAAACAAAAAAGACTACAACATTCAAAAATTTATTTTCAGATAAGACAGTTGAATCTTCGATGCTCTAGAAATTTAATCGAGGATGCATTTCAACCACATAAAAATATTTTTTAACTTTCTAACTGTGTTTAAAAAGACTTTTAAAACTTTTTTATCAGTAAAACCATATCAGTTAATTTAAACAATATAACTCGGAAACCGCATAAGAAAAAAAAAGCCTTCTTTTACTTTTTAATCAACGCAGGCGTCAAACCTCGAACATTTTGACCCAGAAACCAAACCACTGCGCCACGGCTGCAGTCGGTTTAAGTGTATATTTCAATAAAAAAAATTTGTAAATATTTGTGCCTAAGTTTACGTTGTCCTGGTTTTTAGGTAGGAAAGTGAAGCGCTAAATTAATTAAAATAAAAATTCTGAGAACGTTTTCTTACGGAAAAACGTGGCAACCCAAAGCATAATTCGGTATCTAGATATCATAAAATGTTTTTTTTGTACCGCTGTGATTCACCTCTTACATTCTTTAAAAGCAATGTCTGCTATAGGCAATGTAGTTTATAAACACGCTGCTCATTTTTAAATAACTTTTATGCCGGAGGGCTTGCCAAAAGCAGCATCCAAAACGTTCGTGCTTTTACTAGTTTGAAACTTTAAACCAGTAAAAGCACATCTATTGAACGAACGTGTTGAATAACGTAAATATTGGCTAAAAAAATTTAAATTGTTCAACTTATAGAAGTTAATAAGGGTTGGTCTAGAAATGTTAATATGCTGATATAAAACTAAAAAAATCCCCGGAGTACTGAAGCCCCAACAATTTATAAAACGTGCGGGACTTCGAACTCCGGGTAAAAACAGGGTCTCCTGGACTCTAGACTCCGGGCTCGGACTTTGCATCCCTGTATAGTACCATTAAATTTAATATTTATATTACTTCACTCTCAGCAATTTTAGAACCAACCCATGAAATATTTAATTATTTTTTTTTAATGAATTAAATTTGTCATTATCATAAATTTTTCCTCACTAAATTTAGAATTTACTTTTAAAACATGAGATGATGAAATAATTGAATTGTCTAATTGATTTCAATTAACTATTATGGGTCAACTTATTAAATATCCATCTTCAGCTTCAATAATTGATAATTATTACAAGCTATATATATATATATATATATATATATATATATATATATATATATATATATATATATATATATATATATATATATATATATATTATATATATATATATATATATATATATATATATATATATATATATATATATATATATATATATATATATATATATATATATATATATATATGTATATATATATATATATATACATACATATATATATATATATATTTTTACAACAATCATTATTATATATTTCAAAAGCAAATAATATTTACATCTCTCCAGTTTATATAAATGTCCACCACAAATATTTACAATATATAAAGAACGTAAACAATGCTGTTTTACGCATGCGCGTTTGACATCGAGTTAAAATAATAAACTTAAAAAATCGTGGTTTATAATATAAAGTGCTGGCTATTAACCCATGCATTCAAAAAATATACGCAAGTCCGTCGCACCACAGGGCTACTAGGGACTTGCTTGTCGTTGTCGTTAATATATATTAATAATACTATGTAGTTGTAAAGAAATTCGAAGAAGATTAAGAAAAGTCTTTTCATCGAGAACCTTTAAAATACAAAATAAACTAAAAATTTAAAGAGTAAATCTATAAAACACACATTAACTTCTTGAGGTCTTCTGTTTAGTAATATTTTACTATGTATAGTTGCTAACTGTATGTATTTATTTATTTATTTTAATTTATGTTTTTATTTCTATTTTATTTCTTTATTTGCAAACAAACACAGTCTTAAAAGACCTCTAATACATATACTAAAGCTTTCGTTAAATTCTGGGATATTTCCGGATGTACTTAAATTAGTAAAAGTAACTCCATTGTACAAATGTAATGATCATTCTGATATTACAAACTACAGGCTTATATCAGTACTTTCTGTATTTTCAAAACTATTCGAACGTGTAGTTTATAATAGAATCTATGATTACTTCATTAAAAACAATTTTTTTTACCGAAATCAGTTTGGTTTTCAAAAAAATCTCTCTACTGAGCATGCAATCATTGAAATAGTAAATCAAATAACTAATGGTTTTGAAAACAACAAATTTACTTTAGGAGTATTTCTTGATTTATCAAAAGCATTTGATACAGTGGACCACTGTATTCTCTTAGATAAATTAAGACATTACGGAATAGTTAATAAAACTTATTATTGGATTAAAAGCTATCTTACAAACAGAAAACAATATGTAAATAATGCCCAATCTGGAGTGTTAAATGTCGTTTGTGGAGTTCCGCAAGGATCGATTCTTGATCCACTTCTTTTTTTAATATATATAAATGACTTCTATAATGCATCCTTAAAACTTAATTCAGTCATGTTTGCAGATGACACGAATTTATTTCTTACCAACAACGATATCAAGAAATTATATGCGGACATGAATATTGAACTAAATAAAGTAAGTAACTGGTTTAAGGCTAACAAACTCTCACTTAATACCGAGAAAACAAACTATATACTTTTTCATATAAAAACACAAGAAGAAAATCTTCCTCTCAAGTTGCCGAACCTATTTATAAATGATAAATTAATTAAAAAGCAATCCAATATAAGATTCTTAGGAATCGTTGTTGATGAAAAATTATCCTGGCTTCCTCATATAATATATATCCAGTCAAAAATTACCAAAATCATAGGTTTAATGTATCGAGTTCGCTTGTACATTAATACAAATAGTCAAATTCACAGCCTCATCAGCTATGCAAACATTTCATGGGCAAGTACTTAAACAGCAAAGCTTAAGAAACTTTATAGTTTTCAGAAATATGCCTATAGAATCATTTACTTTAAAAATAGGCGGGAACACGCTAATCCCTTGATGAAAGATATGAAAATGATGAATGTATTTGAAATAAATATCTACCAGCATTTAATATTCATGTATCGTTACAATCACAATATCTCTCCTATAAGCTTTAATAATAAGTTTGAGTTAAATAAAAATGATAACTATAATCTTAGAGCGAATATGTTGAACACATATAAACTGCGCAGGATAATAAATAAATATTCAAAATACAGCATTTTATATAGAGGTCCAAAGGTATGGAATATTTTTCAGAAAGAGTTCAAAGGTACGATGAGTTCGTTAAGTTCATTCAAGTTTTTAACAAAAAAAGAAATCTTTAAAACCGGTGAAACATTTTTTGTTAATAATGCATTGGATAAATTCTCTTAAATAAGTTTTTGTTTTGTTTCTACTTTTGTTTGTTGCTTGACAATTTTTATTAGCGGATTACGCATTTTGTTATGATATTTTATTGACAATTTTATTTTGTATGTCATAGTACGATATTTTAACTAAATCTTGTTAAAGGGGTTCTATGAAAAGATTGCGATGACGTTCTGTCATCCTCATCTTCTTTGAGTCCCTATCTGTTTTACTTATTTTGTTAAATTTTATATTATGTAGTAGAATCTGTAAAATTCTTATGTTATGTAAACAGAGAAAAAAAAAAAAAAAATTATTTTTATAGATTAAGTTGTTCTTTTTACATCTTTTTTATTGTTTTTTTATATTACATATCGATAAAATTGATTTTGTTATTTTTGAGATCTTTTAGTTGTTTCTTCAGAGCAATAAGATTATCCAATTTAGTAAGCTCTATATTTTGAAGTATTATTTTGTTGTATAAATAGGAGCCACGGTATACAATTGAAAATCTCGAAAAATTTGTATTTTTATCGGCAAAGTAAAGTTTCCGGTTCCTCGTGTGATATATCTGTTGGCATTGGTTTGAAATAAGTTATTAGTAAAATGAGTTGGGACAAGTCCGAGCATATATTTGAGCATAAATAAAATATTTTGGTAGATGTTAATTTGATAGATATTTAAAGCATTCAAGTTTTTAAGTAAAGGATCGGCATGAATGAATTTATTTTTATTATAAATCAATCTTGATGCGTGTTTGTGGTGTATATATAGAGAACTTAATTTAGATTTATTTGTACTTCCCCAGTCAATATTAGCATATGTTAGATAACTTTGTATATAAGAAAAATAGAGAACTTTTAGATTCTCCTGGGAAAGTATAGGTTTGACTTTGTAAAGTATGTTGATACTTTTTGATATTTTTGTATTTAATGTTTTTATATGGACTTTCTAAGAAATCCTTTTGTCAATAACTATCCCAAGAAATTTATTAGTTTCAGTTCTTTCGATGTTTATGTTATCAATTTTTAATACTGGTTGGAATGAAACAAGATGTATTTTGTTTTTTCTGTATTTGAAGATAATTTATTTACTTTAAACCAAATGTTTAGACTCTTAAGATCATTGTTCACAGATTCAAAAAGATTTTCAATTGATGCTGACGAATAAAATAAATTTGTGTCATCAGCAAACATTATTGCATCGAGTTTTTTTTAGTGATTGTCGAAGATCGTTAATATAAATTAAAAGTAAAGAGGAAGAAGAATGGAACCTTGGGGAACTCCGCATTTTATTTTAAGTAAATTAGAATATTTATTATCGTTTGAAATAACATATTGTTATCTATTGCACATATAACTTTTAAATCAATCTAGGCTAGTTTTTTTTATTCCGTATTTTTCCATTTTTTTTACAAAGATATCATGATTAATTGTGTTAAATGCTTTCGATAGGTCTATAAAAGTTCCTAATACAAATTTCTTTTTATTAAAAGAATCACTTATGCTATTAACTAAATCTAAAATTGCATGTTCTGTTGAGTGCTGTGCCTGAAAGCCGAATTGTTTTTTATTTAAGAATTTGTTTTGGATTAGGTATTTGTATAATCTATTGTAGATCATTCGTTCAAGTATTTTAGAAAAGGTTGGAGTTATTGAGATTGGTCTGTAATTATGTATAAGAAATGTTTCACCGTTTTTAAAAATAGATACAATTTTAGCTACTTTTAATTTATCTGGTACAGTTCCAGTTTTAATTGATGATTTAAATATTTCGAAAATAGATTTGCGTATCTCCGAAAAGACTATTGACGACGATATTGCTGCAAATGTCATCTATACCTGGAAACTTGTTTATTTTAAGAGAGTTTATTGCATTTTCGAGTTCATCAATTTTTAGTTCTTTAAATATTAATTTGTTGTTGACACTAGTTAGATAAGTTTCAAATGAGTTGTTTACACAATTGACTTTTAAAGCTAGATTTAGGCCTATGTTGACAAAAAAATATTAATTTTTCTGAAATTGCATTATTATTGTCATAATCTTTATTATCTATGACAGTTTGAGCAGGTAAATTATTTATTTTACAGGTTTTTATCCCGATTATTTCTTTCATGATATCCCAAGTTTTCTTACCATTCACTATGGATCACCATTTGTGTTTTTTATTTTATTTGAGTAAAAGTTTTTCTTTGAATTTTTTTTGATTTTTTCAAACATTATATTGTTTGTAAACATTTAGGTTTGCCTCATTTGAATTTTTCTTTTGTTTTTGAGGATTTTTTAATACCTTTGGTGATCCATGGACATTTTAAGTGTTTTTCTTTTATTAATTTTACTTTAATTGGGAAGTGGATATTATAGTTTTTTAGGAAAAGTTATTACAAGTAGGGATGGCAAAAATCCCGGAAATTTTCAATCCCGGGATTTCGATATTAAGAAATTTGTCCCCTGGAAATCCCGGGAAATCCTGGAATTGAATAGAAAAAAAACGCAAATACAATTGAGTATTTTTTAAGCACTTATCATACACTTAAAAAAGATTAATTTAATGATAATTTATAAGTATTATAAGTATTATATAAAACAATACCTTAAAATGGTAACACAGTATAAATAAAAATAAAAATTAAAAAATAATATAAATATGTATGACGTTAAAAAAAAACATTCATAAATCACACATTTGAAAATTAAAATGAATGGATATAAAACTGGAATTAAAATCGCGCATACTTTTGGAAGCAGAAAATTCAAAATTAAATTAATGTATACTTTCTATTAAAAAAATCTTGCTCTTTTTACCAGCAAGCGCTCAAACTTTAGTTTTAGCGCTTGCTGGTAAACTAGTTTTAATATAATACTATATGTATTAATATAATACTATATTATATGTAGTATAATATTAAAACTAGTATATTATAAAAAATAACAAAAATATAAGCGCTTGCTGGTGGAAAGAGCAAGAGTTTTTGATAAAAGTTATACATTAATTTAATTTTATTATATATGTGTATATATATATATATATATATATATATATATATATATATATATATATATATATATATATATATATATATATATATATATATATATACATATAAATATACATATATATACATATATATAATCATATATACATTTTGCAGACAAGCAATAATGTTTTGAGTTTTTTTTGAGTAAAATGCAAAAAATGAGAGTTTTAAAAGGAAAACATTGCAAAGATAATAAATGATTACGCAACCAAACAGCTACATTACCAAAGACGATATAAAAATTACTAAACTACAATTATAAGCTTAAACTTTAGTAACCTTTCCTTTTTTTTGACAATCCTGAAATCCCGGGAAATTTCGGAGACTAATCCCGGGATTTTGGGATGAACATTT